ATGGTGAAAGGACAGGGCTGTGTACTACCTAGATTTACCGCAAAGATTGACCTTTATTACTAACTGGACATTGGGGGAAACTGAGGAATCTAACCTGAATTTGAGATTTCCAACTGAACAACTAGGTATAAAGAAAGCAATGCTAAGCACCTAGATAGAGAAAAAGTAAGTTTGAAAGGAAAGTAGATTTTAGATATTTGGACTATAAAGCACCTATAAAACAATTACAAGGAAGATTCACAGTAATCAGTTTGCTATATGAGGAATTAAGAATGATTTCCTGGTTTAGGGTTTGAGAGGCTAGGTGTCCAGTGTCACAATTCACAGAGCAGGATGGAAGAATAGCTTTGGAAGAATGATGAATTCAGTTTGGCACATAACAAAACTGAGTTACCTATGATACATCCAGATTGGGATATCGTACAGGCTGCTAGATTCCTAAAAGCAAAGTGCAACATTATGGAGTTTTTGCTACAGATTTTTAAAGTCATTAAGCATAAGATACACATAAGGTATACAAGATCAGAAGAGGGTTATAACCAAGTTGTTGCAGTCCAAACATTTAAGAACTATCTGGAACTGTCAGAAATGGGGGAACATAAAGAGGAATGTAGCAGATTCTTGAAAAGAAATGGTCAAGAAGCAGGAGAAAAGTTGGAAGTGTTCACTTTGTAAAAATTCACTGTGCTATATGTATACTTCTGAGTAGTGTACTTTTCTGTATATATCTTAACAAAACTAAAGTTCCTTTAAAAAAAAAGAAAAGAGAAACGAGTGTCATGAGAAGATTTGTCAAATACTATGAAGAAGTTAAATAAGATAGAAACAGAAAGGGGAAAAATTCACTGAATTTAGCAATTAAGAAGTTAGCAAAAAACTAGGGAAGGTACTGAAGGGTAAAGATAGTTTTCCTTTCATTTTGTGTCATTATTTTTATTTTCTAACCTCATGCATGGTTTTCAACTTAGAATTCTTACCCAACAGAATAAAGTGATTTCAAATATTTAAATATTTGAAAAATATTTCAGAAGTCACTTTCTTAAGATACAACATACCAACCAAACCAAAGGAGTAAATCAAAAAGACATCAGGTCCAGAAGATCGATCCAACCCTGGACAGTAGTGAAGTTAAGTCACATGCTGAGAGACAGGTGGGCAGCAGACCTAAAGCACTCAGGACATTGGAAGGAAGACTTCAGAAAAAAGTGGGTACTAGGCTGCTTGCCATGAAGGAGTTAAAAACAAATACAAAACACAACATAACACAACACACTCACAGAGGATAAAGGAAAACTAAAAGAAAGGGGAAAAAAGGCAATTCCAGTGGAAGAAAACTTGACAAGAAAGGTGATGAAATTATAGCTTGCGTCTTGGCTCTGTAACAACCCTCAATATAATGTAAGCACTGTCATTGCTTTGCAAATTTAGAGCCATCTACAAAGCACTCAAGTGTTAATTATGGTTACCAGGCACAATGTAAATGTTCATCTTGATGTAAAAATGCAAGTGCTAGAGGCGGAGAGGTGAAGGCAAGGGAGTGGCTAAAGAGAAGCTGGGAAGAAGTACATTAATCCTAGAAAGTGAGAAATCAATACTGCCTACGATTTCTGGAACAAGAAATCAAGTTCTCAATATACTACTTCACCTTACGTGAAATGCATAATTTGAGGAAAGGGGGAGGGGAACAGTGCTTAGGTGAAATCAAGATTGAACTACAAAAAGTTACCCGTCAAAATGAACTGTAGAAAAGGACTGAAGTGGGAAGAAAAAAACTTCTCATTGTAACGGTTTCTGCATTATAAAGTCTTCTGTGTGATCTGATTTGTAGACCAACACCTATGAAATAACTGGGTGGAAGGAGGGGAGGGGGAGTGGAATTTAAGAGTAATGAGGAAAAGGAAATCAAGGCCACAAGGCTATTCTTAAGGATGAAGAGCAGAAAAGAGACAGGATAGCTGCTGATAGTGAAAGAAGGGGATTAAAAAAAAAAAAAAAAAAAAAAAGCTAAGAGATCATTCTTAAGCTACCAGAGCTAATACGAAAGAAACAGGGAAAAATAAAGGGGGAAGGTGTTAGCCCTAGGAGGACAGGGACAGGATCAAGCGCACAAGGAATACAATATAAAACACCAAACAAACAAACGAACAAAAAAAAACAGAAGAACGTGACCAGAGATTGGTACAATTAACAGTTCACTTCAGAGATTGTCAAACTTGAGATAATAACAAGGTTCCATTAGAATGAGGTTATAAGAAAGGAGTAATGGTGTCAAGTTTGGATGACACTGCAGAGTCAGATATATTAAAAAACTTTAAAGTGTCTTTAGGTGAGTTCTTCACCTCGACAATGACATAACCTATGATAATGGCAGAAAAAAAGGGGTTTAGAGGAAAACCAGGTTAGATGCCAAAAATTCTCAACTAACAACATAGGAGTAGGCAAGGAAAGCACACCAGAGGGCAACAGGAGGGACTGAGGATGGCGTAATCTGTAACATACTAATCTCAAAGGACAAGATTTTTGGTTTCTGTATTAGGGTGATAAATATTACCCTATGGAAGCATCAATGTAAATACTTCCTCTACACCCTAGGTAGATATGATGTGATACCTTTAGGAAAGGCAACATCAGTGAAGGTTCTCTACCTTCTCTACCTTCACTGATGTTGCCTTTCCTAAAGGTATCACATCATTATCTACCCTATCTATCTACCCAAGAAAAGAAATGGTCAAGAGACTAATGCTATAGAAAACTGAATTTATAAGGGAAAGGGGAATTCGGAAGCATCCTGTAAGAAGGACTGGAAGGCAATCAGCTGAAAAAGTAGAAACAGTAAGACAAGAATATGTAAGGAAATATTTGCTGGCAGTATATGACAATTCTGAATACAATGAAGTCTGTAAAATACCAATTTACAGGAAATGCAGAGAACAGAGAACACCCTAAAAACGTGATCAGAAAAATCTAGACTATGGGAAATTATAACCAACATGTTTAAGAAAGAAAAAAAAAAAAAGACAAGGGATGCAGGAAACATAGATTGTAAAGTTACAATGTATGGACCTCATTTGGCTCCCGTTTAAAAAAAAAAACACAAAAACCTAAAACCATTTTTAAAAGCCATTTATGATATATCAGGCATTCAGAAATTTGATTGCTTGCTGAATATTTAAAGATATGAAGGAATTATAATGTTTTTAATTTTAAAAACTGTTCCTATATCTTAGGGATGTATACTGAAATATTAATGGAAGAAATAATATGATGTCTACAATATGCTTCAAAATAACACAGTAACAGGGAAAGCAGGTAGCACAGAGTAAGATGCTACAGGCAATAAGGACTACTGCAGTCGAGTGATTGGTGTGTAAGAGTTCATTGTACCATTATGTTTACTTTTGTATGTTCAAAATTCTCCCTAAGAAAAAAGCTTTTTTAAAGGATGTTTGCTATATTTCATCTATCATTTCTTATGAGTGGTTTCAGGTTACTCAATCAGAAAATTTCAGGAAATGAAATCCCGGATTTTATTTTGTATTTTACAATTCATCTCTCTCATACATTTAAAAGCAATGGTTGTTCATAACATTTACTACAAAATTTTTTGTTTAAAGATTCTGATCTCTCAGTATAATAAAAGTGGTATTAGGTACTGACAGGTTTTTAAAAACGGAAAACTTAAAAAGCAACACGTAAAACTGAAACTTTTAGATGAGACTAAGATGACAGGGGGCATTTGACACCTCTTTGCTTATTTATCAGAAGAAGTATACTAAATAACTTTTGAGCTTTTTAAGTAAAAGTGAATATTTAAGTATATATGTCAAAAATTTTTAGGTTAACAATTGAAAGAAAAGATTTATAATCTATAAAATGGCAGGAAAAAAATTAAAAGGAAAAGCTGGCAAAACATTTTTAAGTCCAAATGTCAACAAATACAATAAATGTTAAATAGTAAGCCTATGAAACCCACCTTCTAGAAGACAAAGAACATCAGACTGTATTTTTTTTGAGATTTTATTTATTTTTTTGAGAGAGAAAGAAAGAGAGACAGAGAGAGACAGGGAATGTGTGTGTGTGTACAAGCAGGAGGATGGGCAGAGGGACAAGCAGACTCCCCACTGAAGGAGTAGCCCGAGGCAGGGCTGGAGCCCAGGATTCTGAGATCAAGACCTTAGCCAAAGTCAGATGTTTAACCAACTGAGCCACCCTGGCACCCAGTGCAGATTTCCTTTTTGAAATCAATGTATACAGTGCTTAGGAGAGACACATAACAAAACCATACAGAAAAGTTAACCAAAAAAGAACATTTTTGTCAAGCTGACAGGTGCCAGATGGTACTAATCCTTGTGATTTTAAGCCAAACTAAAAGAAGGTAACTACAAAATACAAATCAATAAGTAAAAGAAACACCAATGGAAAAAGGAGCGAAAGATATGAATAGATCAACAAAAAAGATGGGGGGCTCCTGGGTGGCTCAGTGGGTTAAAGCCTCTGCCTTTGGCTCGGGTCATGATCTCAGGGTCCTGGGATCGAGCCCCACATCGGGCTCTCTGTTCCGTGGGGAGCCTGCTTCCTGCTCTCTCTGCCTGCCTCTCTGCCTGCTTGTGATCTCTGTCTGTCAAACAAACAAACAAACAAACAAATAAATAAATGCAAAGAAGATGGTAGGTCTCACTTGTAGTTAAGTAAATGCAAATCAAGATACCAAATCATATTCATCAGGTTGCCAAAATTAAGGAGTCTGAAGATACCAAGTGTGGATGAGAAGATGTAGAGCCCTTCAAACAACTGGTTTTAGAGAGCAATTAGTCACATTTAACTGATCTGAAGATACAACTACCCTACAAACCAGAAATTCCATTTCCGGTTATGACCCTAGAGAAATTAATATACCACTGCATGATGTTCACAGTAGCATTATTTGTAATGATAAAAAAACATAGTTTCAATACTACATACACTAAATAATTATAAATATAAATAAATATAAATAAATAATAGTTTTAACAGTACATACACTAAAATTAGAACAATACAGAGACAATTAGTATGGCCCCTGTGCAAGGATGGCATGCAAATTCATGAAGTACTCTGTATTTCTGGGGAAAAAGAGAGAGACAAAGCAAGAAACAGACTCTTAACTATAGAAGAACAAACTGATGGTTACCAAAAGGGAGGTAGATCGGGGGATGTGGGAAATAAGTGATGGGGATTAAGGAGTACACTTGTGATGAGCACTGAGAAATGTATGGAATTGCTGAATCACTGTACTATAAACCTGAAACTAATATAACACTGTATGTTAACTATACTGAAATTAAAATGAAAACTTAATAAAACAAATACCTAAATGTCCATCAGTAGAAAAAATGGTATATAAATTATAGATGGTATAAATGGTATATAAATTATATAAAAATGGTATATAAATTATATAAGATTCTATATAATGGCCATATATATGGCCACTACTTCATATATTATTCATATTCATAATTTGTAATTATCATAATTATTCTTCAATTTTATGAATGAACTAGAGTTTATCTCAAAACATGGATAAATGAATGTCATAAAGATAAGTGAGGTTTAAAAAGCAAGTTTTAGCAGGAGATTGATATTTTTGCACGATACAATTTATTTAAGGTTTAAACCCATGATTTACTACTACATATTATTCACTGATACATATATGCAGTAGAAGTTTAAAATATGCATGCAAATGATACTAACTTCAGGCTAGTGGTTATGTCTAGTGAGGTAAATGGGGGAGACACAGGAGTAGGAATATGTAGATGAGCTTCAACTGTGTCTACAATATTTATTTCTTTAAAAAAATAAGATATAAAGCAAAAAGTAGCCAAATACTGTTAATTTCACAGCCCTTTGCGCCTGCCACATGCCCCACAAGCATAGCTTCCCTACATTTCCAAGAAGAGTTAGCAGGTTAAAGATGCAAATACTAACAAAGTTTCCCAAAGCACAGTGAAGCTCTCAGGGGCTACCGGTGGATCACTTAGAGCATCAACTACAGCCATGCTATATACAATTACGCTATTAGTAAAGAGAACAAAAAGATAAAAGGAGATGTGGTCTATGCTCTATTGACTACTTGATCCAGGACTTGTTCTTCCTCAATTTCTGCTTGAAAACTGAGTCATGCTAATTTTAATAATGTTAATTACACGTAAACTGACTGTATTTTCTTTAAAGAGAGAGTGAACACTCTTCTTTTGTCAAAAACAGAATGTCCTCCCAACACGGCATAAGAAAAATAGAGTCTAGAAATAACGTTATCTAGAATAGAGGAAAATACATTGAGGAAAAAAATTTTTTAAAAAGATATAACTTTTTAAGTGTTTTTATCTCATATTCACACCATCCAATCCATTACGCTACACATTTTGTTTGAATACAAATATTAGAGGAAAAAAATGCCATAAAGTCAGAAATGGTAGAGACTATTATATTAAGTACATTTACCATGAAACCATCAGCTAAATTTTGTGAAGGCAGGGGTTTTGAATGCTTTAAAACCAAAGTACTTTAGTTGTGGGAGGGGAGGTATCACATACTTTAATTATCCAAAACCTAGAAATGCTTGCTAAAGAGAAAGGTCCTCTGTGAATTTGATATAGTAAACCAAAAGACGGTACATAAAAAGCAGTTAGTTATTTGCTGATCTTGCTTTATTTGTGCATACACAGACTCTTTCCCTATCTAAAATATGCTTTAAAAGCTGTATAAAAGCACTAATAGTAAAAAAGGACTAAGGAAGGAATGTCTGGGATAATACAAGAATCTCACTGATTAGATAGGGACATGTGTATCACCTAAAAACAAGATTAAATGCAAAAGAGGGTTTTTTGTTTTTTTTAATGCAGATCCCGTGAAATTCTATGTGAATTTGATAGGCATTAAAAGTTCTTACCATTAGGGATGGGATTTTTTTTATTTTTGCATAGTTTGTACTTCAAACTGTCCACTAGAAATATTATACCAGGAAAGAAGGAAAGAAGTTAGTTCTTATCTTTAATTGGATTCTCCTTATTATTGGTGAATATAAGTAGGTATATTTGTTGTCCATGTATATTTCTTTATGAGTTGTCTGTGGCTTTTTCCTATTTTTTCTTTGTTGTATTTGTCATATACACATTTGTCAGAAAAATAACATAAAAATTTACCCCACTGTATATTAAAACTTACTATTAAAAAAACTATAACCAAAACAGTACTAGCATACACATAGATCAGTGGACCAAAACAGCATCCAGAAATAAATCCAAGTATATATGGGAACTCAAGGTAATAACGATGACATATCAACACAGTAAAAAAAGATACTTGTTTACAAAAGGCACTAGCATAACTGACAGTACAACCAGAGTAAACATGCTAAACTTATACTTTATATAAAAAAAATAACCTATGAATAAATATTTAACAAAATAAAATACTTCCAAAATAAAGTATAAAAAAATACTGGAAGAATCTTTGGGAAACTTTTACCTGGAACCAAAAACTTTGTTATACAAAATGAGAAACCCAAAACTCATATAACAAAAGTCAAACAAATTGACTGTATGAGTCCATATTTACTTTGGCTAATAAAGTGTTTTTTAAGGACACATGGGTGGCTCAGTTGGTTTAACATCTGCCTTTGGCTCGGGTCATGATCTCAGGGTTCTGGGATCAAGTCCCACATGGGGCTTCCTGCTCAGTGGGGAGCCTGCTTTTCCCTCTCCCTCTGCTTGCTGCTCCCCCTGCTTGTGCATGTGCACTCTCTCTGACAAATAAATATATAAAATCTTTAAATAAATAAATAAATAAATGCAGTGATTTTTTATAACCACTTGAATTTTAATGCTTTAGGCAAGACATGGATCTCCCTTTTTCCCTACTATCTTACGTAACCAGCCTTTTTATACACATTAATGACAGTGAAGTCATTCAAGTTTTATAAATGTACAATAAAAAGATCTATTACACTAAATTTTCAATCTCTCCAGAGAAAAGGAACCATAAATAAACCAAAAGATACAGACTCAGAGAAAACATTTGAAATTCATGTATCAAAAAAGGAATAGGTATCTCCGATCTCTAAGAGCCCCACAAACTGATAAAAGGCACAGAATTCTTTTGTGTGCCTAGAAAAATAACAATGTATCACAACCTTCCACCAAATACGTATTTTTGAGCACATACGAAATATTTATAAAAACTGACCTTAAGGAACATATGCTTAAAAATTAAAAAAAGAAAACAACTAAAATTAAACATAACAAAATCTAAACATTACTTCAAAGTTCATTTAACTGTTAATGGCAACAATCTCTGCAATGAGTATATACATTTATTTCACTTTTCCATTATACTTCTCTTTGTATTTGGATCTTACTCCTTCAAAATGACTTAAAACATTTTCTAAATACTATAAATTTGTAAATACTCTAAATACTCTAATTTGTAAATACTCTAAATACTCTAAATTTGTAAATACTCTAAAAATCATTCCTGTTAGCTCTTCTTACTTTCTCCCTTACACATTTGAAGTTGGATATTTTCAGTAAATTTTTTTGGTGCGTTTTAAATCCCTCCACTTTAATTACTTCTATACCAAAAAATCTTTTGTATATGTACATCATTTTCAAACCTAACATCTAAGCAAAAATCAATACAGGAAATAAAGACTGAAGACTACATACAATTATAAATATCATAATCAAAAGAGTTTTAAAAGCTGAGAAAAAAACATACGCTACGAGGTTTTAATATAATCAGGTTTAATATAATCAAATTAATCAGTAAAAAAAATAGACAAAGAACAAGGACAGGCATTTCACAAAAAAATACAAGTATTCCATAAAATGAAAACATGGTCAGTGTCATTAATAATCAGAGAAAGTTAAATAAAAACAAGTTACGTTTTGCCCTTTTTGACTGGCAAAGATTAAGAAGACTGGCAATACCCAGTGCTGGCAAGGATATGAAAGAAACAAGACTATCTAAGAATTTGTCCTTTTAAAAAAGGTAAGAGTAATGGGATGCATATCTATGAATTCTATGAAACATTTTATAATAACGAAAAAAATCTTAAATAACATTAAAGGGATCCGATAACATATTGTATACTTAGTCAATAAAAATACTATGAAGATACTAAAAATGATAGCTTACATCATGGCTTTCATTATATCCTCAGCATTATATCCTGTGCATAGCACAAAATGGACACTGAGTAAGTGTTTACTAAATTACTATGATAATGATCTATTTAATGATTGATTAAATGCTAACTGACTGGTTGAGTGTGTGTGTAGGTGGGTAAGTGACTACGCTGACCCACAGAGTGATGTGAGTGACTGACAGAGCTGCTGAATGAATGAGTGACCAATGGAATGGGTAAATAACAGATCAAGAGAGTAAGCAGCTGACCAAGTGAGTTGAGTGACCCCCTGACTGCATGAAAAAAGGACTGAATGAAAGAACAATTGAATGAATCGCTAATCATTGAAATGGAAAGATCTCTATAATACATTGCGGAGTTACACCTCACATGAGAATACACAGGACACTATTCATGTCGCTATACAGAAACATCCAGAAAGATAAACAAAACTTGTTAAGCAAGTTCTGTCACAATCAAGAAGCACTTGCAATTCTTTTTACCCCTTTGATTGATGAATATAATTTTTAATGGCCACTTTTACTCACTTGAGTCTTACTATTTGAAGAGATACTGTTCAAAGCTTGTATACTACTACTGCTCTTCACAACAGTATATACAAATATGCAAATACGTATCTTTTAAAATACTATAATTCTTTCACATAAGAAGCAAGAGATCTAAGATGAATACGTAATCAGTTTTGAGACTGGAAAAAAACAGAAGGAGAACAGATACTCACTTAAGGATACTAAAACCACCATTTTACCTGGCACCAGTCACAAAAGTAACATGTATAACAGGCAACAATTTAAATCACCTTCTGAGAAACCAGATGTGAATGATACACAAACAGAAAGGTGAGAAAATAGAAATTATTCTGCAAATTTAACCCCTTCCCTATTTTTAGTCTTAGGAGTAGCTTTTGAGCTACT